TAGTGCTATTACAGCTGAAATGATGCATACAAAGAGAGAGAGAGAGAGAGAGAGAGAGAGAGAGAGAGAGAGAGAGAGAGAGAGAGAAACTAACCTTGTTAGCATTCACAAACAAGTAGAGAAGGACATAGGAAAAGAAATATGTATGGTTGTTTGGGTAGCGTATCTGACTTCTGATTGCATTAAGGAAGAGATAATGCCCTTCGGAGTCAAAGTCTACAATTAGAATCCAAAATATGTCCATGGTAATAAAAAATTAGAATCATTGTTTGTCATCCGTGCAAGTGGATGTGGATTTTTTGCTTCTAGTTGTTGGATAGTCTGCAAACAATCCCAAGAGAGGAGGCAATTTTAGTGATGGTTTTGGTTTTACTACAGGAAAAAGACATTAGTATGCAGATAGAAGAAATGCTTATAAAGCACTCCTTATGCACTTTATGGTTGTGGTGCGCAGTAGTGCTATTACAGCTGAAATGATGCATACAACGGAAGTCCACTTTCATTTCAAATTTTCTTTTATAAGTTGCATAACAGAACCATAGATTTATCTATAGGTCATTTACTATGTTCTGTCCATATTCTCAACAATGAATGGTTCTAAAAAAAATACGAGCTCATACCGAATGAAGTCAAGTGATGACGATATTTTTACCGGAGATAGTTCAATAAGTTAGAAAGATATTTCAAGAGAACTCTAGAGATAAAAACCACTTTATGATGGAGAACTCATTTTTGGATGAAAACTGGTATATTCAAACTGTGAGTTCAACAGACTCCAACACAAGCAGGCTGAGTTAGAAAAATGAACAAAGGCATCAAACGATGTCTAAACTAAGTGAAACTAGAACAATTGGAAAGGTATTTGAGTTAGGGATATTTTATCAGAAGAATGAAAAGTCTAAAAATCACATCAAGGGGGTGAAAATACAGGTTTAAGCAGTACTGGTCTGTTCTTGTTGCGTTTTGGAAAAATGATCATAATTATCTCAATAATTAATATTTTTCAGTGATTCTTGTGTACATAGAAAGGTATCTCATATATCTAACATTTGGCACTAGTTTCACTCCATAAGGATTCTTATTAGAGAAAATGGCATAGAAACAAAGGGAGGGTTAATTGCTACTCCCAGAAATCTGTAGGATCCAACCATAAAGAAATCAAATAATACCCGTTGTCACTAATGTCATAATAAATAAATAAATAAATAAACATGGAGGAAAAGAGAAAATCATGCCTGAACTCACTTTGTTGTCTAGCAATCATGTGATTAGGTTGCTTTACACTAAAAAATGTAACTAAACAATACAACCAAGGTTTAATGTCTGCAATAAAATTTGAGCCTAATAGATGAAGTCAAAGTGCACAGACAAGTGCTCCCTCTGTGCAACCATGATAGTCATCTATTTAAAAAATTCATCCTTCTGGAAGATGCAAATATAGACACACTTGAGCTTTTAAGATTAGTTCTGCAGCATTGTGCCAAGTTGCTTGGCCTAATTAAAGATGCATTCAAACCTTACAAATGCATAAATTCCTCCACCTTCTATGTATCCCTCACGAGCCGATGTGTATGCTTCACCTCCACCACTAGCACCTTATTCTCCTTTGGTGGCCAAAGTATTTAAAATGAGCTTTTATTTCTTTTTCTTTTCTTTTCCCTTTACTTTTTGGTACAGGAACCAACGATGAGCTTAATTTGATAATTAAGCATTTAATCGAAATAAATTCTATAAAAATCAATGATTTGTCTCTGTCTTCTAAAGGAGGAAATCCACATGTTTTCGCCTACATAATATGTACAGGAAATAGAACATTATTGTGTTTCAGGAATTCAATGGCTAAATGTCAGGATTTTTTTTGATAATCCTTGTTTTCACCAAAAATGCTAATTTGTTTTTATAAATACTCAAAATAGTATCGGTCTAATGAGATTTTTCTTAAGTTTAGGTGCATGAAGCATGAAAAACTAAATACAGGTATGAACAAGCCCTTACATTCATCCTCAAGGGAAAAAAAAAGAAAAAAAGAGGCAAATAATGCTAGTTTCAAATTTCAAAATCAAATATGCGTATGCACAAAGAAAACAAGTGCAAAGGGGAAAAAAATAAACACTAACCTAAAATATACCATCCAAGAGCATCTCACCTTCAGATAAAACTATAGTGTTTTCTGAGAAAAACCCTATTGTTATCTTGTATTGCATGTTAAAGAAAATTATGAGGTTGTAAAGCATAATATGCCCAGCAATAAATGAATCCAAAAACATATGACTAATATACAGTATCCCTTACGTACTAAAAATGAAATTAACTTAAGAATCAATTAATTTCACCAAGTTCAATGGAAATGAACTGTCCCAGCATGTTGTCCAAGAGCAAGAAAAGTGACATATTGCTAGTGATAGAAGGAATACAATTGAGAAACAAGGGTTTTACTCAGTTTAGTATCAATTCAATTCATAGTTGAACCATGTCCAAGATGTGGATTGTTACTAGCAATTTACACAACTGTGATAAAAACCCCAAAACAACTTCAAAATCAATAGAATTAAGAATGATTAAACATCATAATTCAAAGAAAAGCAAATGAGGTTTTCTTCAATCCACGTCAATCAAATTAATTACAAGATGCAAAAACTACAAGTTTAGCAAATTCAAGGTGAAGAAACTCTTGACAGGTTGAACAGCGACGGGGCAAAGATCTGAGAAGTTGAAAATTATAGTTACAGTTTGAAATTGGGAGAGAGAGAGAGAGAGAGAGAGAGAGAGAGCATGTTTACCTGATGCAAGAGGTCTGAAATCGAGAGAATTAGCAATGGTAGAGTGTGGGCGGCTTCACGCACTGCTATCAAACTTCCTTCATCTCTCCACCGAACCCCACTGCTGCTTAATGTTGCTCTTGTTTCGTTTTGTGTTAGCCACATTCTTCGTGTTTTCTCTCTACCTTGGTAAGTTTGCTGCCGACCTCGCGATGGGGAAACAGGGTGGTGCCACCACGGCATGAGACATTTTTGGTTGTGGTGATTTTCAATGGTGGCCTAGGGTTTGTGCTGGTGTGAATGACAGAGAAAAAGAGAAACAAATGGTGAGCTAGGGAGATAGAAACATAGTATTGTTTTTTCAATATATATATATATTTTTTGGGGTGTTTGGCGGGTGAATTTTTTATTTTCCCGCTACTTGTTTTTTTGGTCATATCTTTCATGTCAGCAATTACATGTCATGAAAAGTCCAATATTTTAAACGACTGACTTTTTGTGTGTCGTGAAAAATGAAATTTTTAATGGCTGAGTTTTTGTGTGCCGTGAAATGTCCAATATTTTCAACAGCTGGTGCCCACATGTCGTGTATAGTTGATATATTAACGACATGCCATATGCACATCATAGAAAGTTTTATTATTTACGGCTAACATTATAAGCCGTAAAAAAATCTTCATAATTAGCACTCACGACTTAAATAGACACGTCGTGGTTGGGAAATTATTTATGACATGCAAAAAAAGCAAGTTGTAAAAGTGAGAAACCACAACTTGCATTTATTGTATGTCGATGATGAGAAGCCATAAAAACCCAGTTTTGTTGTAGTGTTAGACCGCATGTTATCAAATTGTTTTATATGCCATGTTAAGTAGCCAAGCCTAGTAATTGCATATTGCATGTGTTGCATTAGTCATATTGCATAGTTAGGATCATGCATTTTCTAACTTTGTTTCTTTTTTGGCATGGAGTACTAGGTAAGCTTTTACTCGCTTTAGCATAATTGCATGTGTGTGATTGTTGTCATGTTTCACATGCTTACCATGAGGCTAAGTGCTTAAATGATGAACTACTTGAATGCCTGTGGATGAAGGCTAGTTGATTGAATTGGAATAATGTGAGTAATGTTCATATGCGATCACTTTTTCAAGTCGTACATATTTCGAAATGATTTTAAAAACGAACATGACTCGAAATGCTCCAATTCTTGCAACATAATCTATACTTGTGTGTGTGCACATCACATAGTAAATGTTAGCTTAATAAATTGAAACAACAGCATATAATGTTGATAAAAATCATATCATGATTAGTAGAGGCCGATCTTTGATCAGGTGAACGGGGGTGCTCAAAAGTATTCATGACCTTCCCTTCTCGTACCTAAGTTCCCTAACCGAGACAATCATGGTGATAACAGACACATGGCCTTTGGCATGAGTCATGGGTTTACTAAATTTTCGTAAAAATAAAATATTTAGGTGGCGACTCTGTATTTGGCAAAGCAGTCCATTTTTGGCATTTCTGATTCAAAATTAATTTTCCAAAAGATTTGCCGGATTTGGACTCTTTGGTGTTTATCAATTTCACAGTGCACTTGTGAGATTAGATTCAGAACCGTAGGAGTCCGAACTGTAGGGCTTATTTTGAAACTTTCAAAAGGGGGCGCGAAAAAGTTAGGTTGCACTCGCCTCTTAACTCTGATTGCATTGGCTTTGTTCTCAGGCATTGTGCCATTTCCAAGGTAGTCAATATATGACTGCCTCCATTCTTCGCTGCTTAAGAAATGGGCTTCCTCTTCCTTGGGATAGGACTGACATTTTGCACATTGCCTCTGCAACTCAGTACTTTCCTTTTCCATCTCTAGCCAGTAATACCCTTGCCTCTGTATTAGTGAGTATAGACTGATATCTCCATCTCGACAGGACTTAGCATGGATCTACTTAAGTTTGTAAGTTGCTTCTTGTCTGCCGACGCACCTTGCCAGCAGGTTGTTGGGACCACAAAAATACAACTCTCCTCTGAGGAGCAGAAATGATGCAAGTTTTGCTGGTTTGATTGTTCCCTGGCCTACTTTCAATTGCTGGATTATATCTGCTTTCCACCCCTCAGCATCTTGCTTTGTATGTTCTTTGGCTAATACTGCTAGTGTTGTTCTTTTCTCGATGACGATGGGTATACTATCATCTGGTATATCCACCTTTGCCCCAGTGTAGCCAAGGCATTGGGGAAACGGTTGTGTGCTCAAAGAGTATGCTGGATTTGGACATCATCAAACTGAGTGAGCAACCTTTGAGCCCTGGTGCAATATGGCGCCAACAGAGGCTCCTTTAATGTGAAATCACCCATTGTTTGTTTGACAACTAGCTTGGAGTAGCTCCAAATTTTCAACTTGTGGAGGCCATTCTTTTGGGCAGCAATTAGACCTAGTATCAATGCCTCATATTCAGCCACGTTGTTTGAACATTCGAAGTCAAGCTTATATGATAGATGAGACTTCTCTCCTTCTTGATTGATTAGTGTTATGCCAACTCCACCTTTTCTGGCTCCGGAAGCTTCATCAAATTTTAAGTCCCAATAAGTCTCAACTGCAGTTGCTGAGACATGGACCTCACCTAGTAGAGGTACCTCTGCAGGTTCATGTTCACCGAATGAGAATTGGGCCATCAAGTCTGCAAGTGCTTGGCTCTTAATAGCCTTGGGAGTAACACAAGTAATGTCATATTCTGCTAGAGGCAAAAGCCATCTTGCCATTCTTCTAGTCAGAGCGGGCTTGCTCAGCAAGTACCAGATTGGATCACTTTGGGTCATAACCTGGATCGGGTGTGCCGAAAAATAGTGGTGCAACTTTTGCGCTGTGAAGATTAAGGCTAAACAATGCCTCTCAATTAGGGTATATCGCGACTAGGCACCATTGACTTTGTGACTGATGTAATAGATTAGCTTCTCAATGCCATCTATGTCTTGGGCAAGTAGATCTCCAATAGTCCGAGGTATAGAGGTCAGGTACACTAGCAGAGGCTTTTCGGGTTGTGGGGCAATCATTGTAAGTGGTGAGGTAAGTGCTTTCTTCACCATATCAAATGCCTATTGGTGTTCTTGTAACCATTCAAACTTGTGATTCCCTTTCAGCAATGTCCCAAAGGAAAAAGTTATCTCAGCAAGGGCTGGAATGAACCTCCTGAGGTATGACACTTTGCCTAGGAATTTCTTCAAGGCCTTTCGAGAGCATGGTGGTGGCATCTCCATGATTGACTTGATCTTATCCCCATCTACTTCGATCCCTTGCTGGTGTACAAGAAAGCCAAGAAACTTGCCAGTGGTAACTCCAAAGGCACACTTGAGAGGGTTCATCTTTAGATAGAATTTGCGGCAATGCTGAAAAACTTTTTCCAAGTCGCAGAGGTGTCGCTTTACCTTAGTAGACATGACCACCAAATCATCCACATATACTTCCACTTCATGATGCAACATGTCATTTAACACTGCAGTCATAGCCAGTTGGTAAGTTACCCCCCCATTTTTCAAATCGGAGGGCATCACTGGATAGAAAAAATTTCCCAAGGGCATTCTGAAAGCTGTCTTTTTTGCATTTTTTGGTGCCATTTTGATCTGGTTACAACCATTGAACCCATCCATGAAGGAGAACATCTGATGGCCCGCAGTAGAATCGACAAGTGTGTCAACATGGGGCAATGGAAACTCATCTCTTGGGCAGACCTTATTCAAGTCGCGAAACACAGACCCTGATCTGACCATTCTTCTTCTGCATAGGCACAATATTTGCTAGCCAGGTTGGGTACTGTATGGGCTCGATGAACTTGGCCCTCTGTAACTTTTCTACCTCTGCCTTAATCTTTTTTGCAAGATCAGGGTGATACTTTCGAGCATGCTGCTTGATTGGTTTAGAGTTGGGAAAAGTGTCTAGATGATGAGTGACAAGGGATGGGTCAAGACCAGGCATCTCATCGTATGTCCAAGCAAAGATGTCACTACATTGCTTTAGTAGTGTTATCAATTCTGCCTTAGCTGCTGGAGCAATTGTATCACTGATTAACACAGGCTTGCTCTATCTGCGTAAGTCACTGAGGTTGACCTAAGAAAGTACCTCCTACTGCGCTTTGGATCTATCTTACATGCATTCAGAGGCGAGCTCAGGTGTCTCGACCAACCCTTCTTAGGACTTATCACCGTCACATTTATTCGTCTCGGGACCATCCTCCCAAGATATGAAGTCTGGCCCCCAAGACCGTCATAGGTAGTAAATTGTCTTACTGCCCTCACGCACCTTAACAATCTTGGGTAGAGGTGGACTTGCTGCTCCGTTTCTGCCCACTACTGTTTGGAATAGCCCCTGCATCTCGAATGGCTTTCCACTTCACCAATTTTACCCTTGCAACTTTACCAGCCCTTGGAGTTTCATCCGTTGAGAGCTCAGTAAAGAAAACTGGATCCAAATAGTGTGCCCCCTCCACTCCGAATGGATTTTCAGACACATTTATGGTCATTGTGCGCTTTCCCAACTTTGCCTTTACACATTGGTGATAACTTGATGGGATAACTCCATATCGGTGCATCCAAGCTCTGCCAAGTATCATGTGGTAATTTCTATCCGCTTCAATCACATGGAACTTAGTGGTGAAGTAGATCTCGCCAACTACTAAGTCCAGTACAATATAGCCCTTAGTAACCTTCTTCTCACCACCAAATCCCGTTATAGTGATGGGTTGGCGAACCATCCCAGACTCTGGATACTAGCCTTTGCAAAGGTGTCAGTAGTGATGACGTTTATGGACGCCCCATCATCGAGGAAAGCACACTTGAACTCTACATCATTGATGTAAGCTATGACAAAAAGAGAACAGTTATGAGGAAATGGGTATGCTCTGTCTGCTTCTGAAAAAGTAATGGCCTCATAATCTTCCTGGATGTGTCGAGGCACATACTCCTTAGCCTCAGCAACTTCAACGTGGTGCACTTTGGGGATGTTAATGGGGGCCTTTGTCGCTTCCAACCCAGCGGCTTGGCTCAGCCCCAGCTGGTCAAAGAAGGTGTGAAATTTAATAGAGTTTTGCAGGGCCCGAGCATGAGTATCCTCTGCGAATTTTGCCTCTGCAGGTACTGTCTCAGGGAGATAGCCACACACGATTTCTTCTAACTCATCATAGTAGGACGCCATGTGCACTTGATAACACATGGGCCCTAGGTACCCAATCATATGTACATTCTTCCTATTCTCTTTGTGATTAGGATAAGGTCCTTCCTTACGTCACGATTATCGGTGTCTTTGAACTTCAGCTCATTTGCTTCAATTTTCTTCTTGAAGATACTTTTCAAAGTCTGACAGTCCTTAGTGGGGTGTCTGGTGGTTCTGTGATAAACACAATAATTTGGGTTTTCCTTGTCCTTCTTGGCTAGAGGGACATCAACCGGAGGCAAAGTAAGTTTACCATTAGCTATCCATTCTTTAACCAAGGTCTTAACATTCTTAAGGCTACAAGGATATGGATTTATGTCCTCATAACTCTTTCTCTTTCGAGAGGACGACGCCTCCTCTTGCGAGCAGCTCCCTCCCGTAGAGGTTAACATAGCAACTCTGCTACTGCGGAAGTAGCGGTGGCTGTCACGAGATCTGTGCAAAGGATCAGTGGTACTGGGGTTCCTAGCTGCCTCAATCAAGGCTAAAAAGGTTGGCAGATTATGGTTCACCAAGGAAATTTTGTAGTCGCGTATGGCACCCTCCACATGTATGCTGAATAAATAGGCCTCATCCATTGGTTCATAACAGTCAATAGCCTTATCTTGGAACCTTTTAACATAGTCCAGTATATCTTGGCCTTCTTTTTGGACATCTAGCCCAAGTGTGAGGGTTGTAACTTTCTCTTGGACTTGGAAGAACTTCGTGTGGAACTTGTTCATCATCTCCTCCCAACTTTTGATCGAGTTTGGAGCCACGTTCACATACCAACTGTAAGCCCTTTCAGTAAGTGATTTGGAGAATTCCCGAAGATGCAGAGAGTGGTCACTACCATGGAGACCAAGAGTTTCAATGAACCTCACCACCTGTTCTCTGGCATTGCCTTGTTTTCCATCAAACTTAATAAACTTGGGTACTGTATACCTAGTTGGGTAGGGCATGGTCAATATCTCTTGACAGTATGGGGGTTTCACATCTGGGACAGGAAGAGATGGCAGTTGCTTCTTGCTATGCACTTGCTTGAGCATAGCTTGTACATCGGCTAGAGTAACAAAGTGAGTGGACTGGAATGGTCTAGTCTGCTCTGGGGTAGCTAAACCAGCGACTGTACCATTCGCTTGAGGTACCACCGGAGGCACCTGGATCGGAGCCCGAACCTCAGGGAACATGTTAGGCATTAGGCTTAGGACTACTACAGGCAGAGGTGCTTGCACTGTAGCTGGCCGAGAAGCCATGGCCATAATAGCCTCAATGAGAGTTTGCAAAGCTCCCAAAATCTCCCTCTGCGCATCCTGGAGTTACTGAACTGCCTTAACCACAACACTGTGGTCACGGTCCTCCACATGTGCTGCTCCGCCATTTGAAGAGCTTTGCTACCATGGGGGTTGCTGAACTTCATCCTCTGCCATTTTTTTCCAGTGAAGTGTGTAAACCACTATGGGTATGAACCATCAACAAAGCAGCCTCGCTAGCGGAGTCACCAAAAATTTAGGGAGATCCAAGGTTAGGAAGGTGATTAGAGAGGTAAAACTATGTTAATGGTCCAACAATAATGGAAGTGGCTGGAGAATGAGTAGCAGCAACTATCTGGGAGTTGAAGAGTGTGTAGCTGGGTGAGGGTGAAGCGAGTGGCTCAAGAAGAAATATATGACAGTACCAAAATGGGTAGCGTCTCCCTCAAATCCCCAAAATTCCTCTCTTTGAACATTGGGAAATGGGTCCTATTTATAGGATTTTCCTTGGTGCCAAGAGGATACCAAGTGGCCAAATAGAGAGAAGACATGTGTCCTAGAGGATCACATGGAATATCCTGCCTTGAGCCACCAGGTTGAAGGTGCCACATGTCCCTCTGCATGTACTATGTACTATCTGTTTGCCTCCACAACTACCTTTTTGAGCCTCAACAAGTGTAGTTGCGACGAGAGTGTTTGGCACTGCAACTCCCTTTTGAGCCTCAGCAAGTGCAGTTGTAGCGGGAGTGTTTGCCTCTGCACTTGCCTTCTCAGCCTGAATCTCAACAAGTGTACTTGCAGCGGTGAACCTTGTCGCTGCAGTTGGCTTCTTAGTTCTATTTGGCTGGTATATGCATTCTTAGGACTCCATTAGCTTGTTATCGGCTATGTTTTTATTCACTTCAGCGAAACCTCCACCCTTAGCTACCTAACCACAAGCTCCCCAGCCTTCCAGGGCGAAGGCCACAGCCAAGCCTGCTATCAGCCATGATGTGCCTTAGTACCAAGCCCAAGGGGGTTCCTCAGTCTTGCTTGTGTGACCAGGGCAGGTCCATGACTTGGGTAATGGAAAGGGAGTCCCTTATGCTCGGACTACCCTGCTTCCATTTTCGCGGGATTGCCGCGGTAAACTAGTATCTCTGGGTCTGCTATAAGCTCTAACCAGTAAGTCTTGGGGCCTGCTATCAGCGCCAAGTTAAATGAACTTTGGGGCCTGCTATCAGCCCTAGGCTAGTAATGCCTTGGGGCCTACTATCAGCACCAAGCATTAGCCTCTACTTACAGAGGGAAACCTCTCTCAAAGGTTGCTATCACTTTGGCAGGAT